CATTTGCTCCTTTATTAATTGTATTATTTATTCTTCTTCTGTTTAGTTTTTTGAGGTCTTTTTATATTCTGGATATTAATCCCTCATATGTTGAATAGCTGGCAAAGATTTTTCCCATTCTGTGGATTGTCCCTTCACTCTGGTAACCTTTTCTTTTGATGTGCAGAAACCTTTTAATTTGATGCAGTCCCATTTATAAATCCATGCTTTTATTTCCTGGGCAATTGGAGTATTAGTCAGAAAATAATTACCTATATCTTCCAGAGTTTTCCCTTTTGTTTCTTGTAGTACTTTCAATATTTCAAGTCTTAAATTAAGATTTTTGATCAATTTAGAGTTGATTTTTGTACAGAGTGAGAGATAGGGGTCTGGTTTCAGTCTTCTGCATGAAGATAGCAAGTTTTTCCAGCATCGACTCTACTTTAAATAAAAATATGTGATCTTCACTTTACGTATTCTTCCCAATCCATTTCCTGATGTTACAACTCAATCTTATTTTTATTAATATTATTAGTACATTTTAAGTGTTAGAGAAAACATGATATAAAATCAAAGCAAATATGAAATTAAAATGATTAGGGGTATATTTTTCAAAATAAGTTTGCATATATGCAAGTGTCCTAAGGTCTATAATTTATACTTATATAGATTTTATTGAATAGTTATGTCATGGTCTACCATTGGATTATAAACTAGAAGCAACTTAAGAAAGATTTCTAAATTTATGTTTAAATAGTAAATCTTAAATTGATTAAAACTTTTAAAACAACAGAAATTCTTTAATACTTTCCCAGTAACTTTACTTCTTTTACACACCAAGTACGCTTACCACAGTATTTTATCTATGAGTAAGTGCACCCCTTCCTTTCATTCGGCAACACCCATTCACATTGTCAGATCGAATGGTTTGGTCTGATAAATGTAGAGTTCATTTTTAAGTCCATACCATACAACTTATCGTTAAGTTCCAAGCTTCCCTTTTGGTGAAGACTATGATCACAGCTTATAACTTATTATACAAAGAATTATTTTAACCCAATAGCACTAAAAAATTTATTCACCTAAACTGCAAAGGTCAGTAACACTGACTGGAGTAAACTAATAATGTAAAATAATAAGTGATATTTTTGAGACTGAGTTGATTTTCAAGTATTTATTCAAAAAATAAAATAAAACACTTATACTTTCCTATTTTCATCTTACACTTTTGGAGAAGACTAGAACAATTATCCATATAATAACATTAAGATCAAGTATCTCATGGATCTTAAGAACTATATATTGCATTTCAATATAATCTTGTCCACTAACATATAGTAAATTTGTTACTATGATAATGCAAATTTTAAATTAATACAGTAATGTAAATTTTATTATACATTCTAAGTATGATTAAAATAAATAACTATAAAAATAATTTAACAAATCATTATGTAACACATAGTAAATATCAAGTTTTGAGAACATAAAAATAAATTAAAAATAAGAATTTCACAGTCTAAAGGGACAAATAAAATAGACAATTTAATATTGTACAACAACTTTGAGAGTGCTATAAACAGAGAAGTACAGAAACCTTAAGAGAGTCACTTAATCCAGAACAGTAGTAATTAGGGATGGGTTCTTGACCAAAATGAAGAGCTTTACAAAAGATTTTGGCAAGAGAAGAATTAATGGTGGATGAGAGGAAGAATATTTCAGATATATCAAACAATCTGTGTAAAGTGCAAGGGCAGAGAAGTAAAGCGAATGTTCATGTTTGATCAAAACTGCAAATAGTTTGGCATGACTAAAATGAAAGTTACAGGATGGGCAGTTGTGAGAGAAGAGGCAGAGAAATAGCCTAGGCCATATCATTTGAAGTTTAACTGGCTTTGCTAGGGAATTTCAATCTCTACCTGAATGAGTGAGGAGTTTAAGTTGGGGGTAGTATACTAATTTGAGAGTTTTAGAAAAATTATACTGTCTTTTAGAAAGACAGTAAAAGGAAGGAACAGGAGACAGGAGCAACAAGTTGAGGTTTCTGTAGTAATCCCAACTTCAAATGAGGATCACTGATAAGTAATGAAGCAGAGATAAGATGGAGAAGGATTAGATTGCTTAGAATTTGGGTAATAAAATCAGTAAGAACTGACTCTTGATTGGAAATGGTGACTGTCTAACAGCACCAGTCATAAGTCATTCACTACAGCAGACACTGAAGAAAGAACTAGTTTTGTGAGATGATGAGTTCTGATTCAGGTGTTTCTGATTTAGTTAAGACTGCACCAAATAGTGGCATGTGATTCTGGCATTTAATTGGGCATATCTGATCATACTTCATAGACATGGACTTCATCTGCACCTACAATGGTAACTGATGTTGGAGGAGAAGTGATTATCTAGGATGTTCAGAGTATAAAGAGATGAGAGGACAATAGTATGAACTGTTGGGAAGACCAGCATATAATGAATTCATTTGAATTCCTTCAAATGAATCTTTAAAGGAAACTGAAAAGACGCATTAGAGTAGGCAAAGAAAAATGCAAGAGTCTCTAGGTCTGAAACTAGGCGAGCTACAAGAACTGAGTGTTTATGTGCATGGAATGTATCAACAACTAAAATGCACCAAATGCATTTAACAACTAAGGCATTTGTAACATGGATAACAAGTTGGACACAGTTTCAATCATGTGGAGTGAAGGCTAGATTTAGAAGATTGAGAAATGAATGACCACTGAGGAAGTAACAAGTAAGGTAGTATTTAAAAAAAAAGACATAAAATTAGCAGCACGAAAGAAAAGCAAAGTTTGATATCTTTAAAACTAAGACACTAATGTAAACTATAAATATCACATACTTGAAAAATAGGTAAAGAAAACCACAACAGGTAGAGCTCCTACTTCAAAGGCTGAAACTCAGTTTGAACTAGTATAGGTAAGCAGACAGCGAATGACTTAAATACAAGCAAACAGCTGTTTCGCTCTTCCTGTTGGCTCATTATTCTCTTACTGAGGATCCAATTCTCTGTGCAGCAGGGAATGGTTTCATCACTAAACAGGAAAGGTTATCTCTCTTCCAGTTTCCAAACCTAAACTCAATACAGAGGCTGTGAGAGACAGGATGCTGTAAACACCTCATGGGAAAGAAGTGAGAAGAGCAAGTCTCCCTAATTAGAGTGATCTCTATTAACCGACAAAGATAATAGACAATAAAGGGGTTGGAAAATGACAGTTCACACCCATTATAAAATAGATATCTGTGTACATATGCTGTTATACACAGAAGCCTTTCAGTAAAATGACTAATATTTTCAAATATTCCTAATATTTTCAAATTTTCAAAGTGCTTTTTTATAATCTCTTATTAAGTAAAAGTAATAGGATCTTTTCCTTTTCAATTACATTTTTGTTAAGAGGGGACAGGAAGCCACGTACAGTGCTGCATGCCTGTAAACCCAGCTTCCTGGGAAGCTGCGGTAGGAGAATGGCAAGTTCCAGGCTAGCTTGGGGGACTTAGTGAGACCCTGTCTCAAAATAAAATAAAAAGGGGGCTGAGGATGTAGCTAGGTTCAATCTCCATTGCCATGACAAAAAGGGTATAGGCAGAAGAGAAAGAGAACGCTATTGGGTCTGGATATTATACTCATTGACTAGCAGAAGGACTTGTGGAGAAAACATAGGAAGAGCCAGGCTAGAAGTCTTCAAATATTTGAATGGCAATCATAAAGAAGAAGGATTGGACCAGTGTAGTTGTAGGGCTAGGAGACATGTTACAAGAGGTGGTCTTCAGTTCAGTGAGGAAGAATTTCTAATGATCAGAGAAATCCTAGAAGAGGGCTTTGTGAAATATAAATCCTAACCAGAAGTATTTGAACATGGCTGGCTAACTTCAGTGTTCTGATAGAAGAAGGTAGACTGCCTGATTTTCAAGGCCTCTTCCAACTCTAAGAAGATAGTAGGAGACCATCATTATTTGTTTGATCCAACAAAGAGAATTTGTATATAGTGAGACCTCTTTTTGATAATTGCCTACTTGCTAAATACTGGTTTCCTGGAGTCAGTTTTTTGTGCTACACAGTACACTGTAAGAAGAAAACCTCATCCTAGCTAAAATGTTTTTAGATACTTTTTACAATGTTATTGACCAGATTCAGCATGAACAATCTGATAGAGGGATTAGTATATCATCTGCTTTTATGAAAAAGAGAAACAAAAGCTGAAATGAAGGTTCCAGGAAAGTTGTGAACTTTAACAAAGTCAGGTGTTAAGAATTCAATAATTTTGTTTTTCTTTTAATGGAGAAAAAAAAAGTTGCTAAAAGTCCTTTGTCTTGATATCTATGAAGATTTCACTAGATGGTGCTCTAAGGCTGACAGGAAGAATGTTTTACTAAGATGAACATATCCTGTGGAAGTTCCAATAGGAGTTAAGTGTTCTGGAACTTCCTATACATTCTCAGTCCCTGAGAATAATGTCAGGTTTGTAGGAAAGTAATGGAAACCTTAGCTTCATGAGTGTTAGCCCTAAAAATCAGATTAATTTTAAATAAACCATAGGCTTAATGTGTCTTAAAATAGTTTCACTATCTGACAATTTAATTTCACTGAAATGGAAATTTAAAAGTTATGGAAAAGCTAATTTATTATTCATTTAAGCATATTACTATTATTTTCACTTAGTTCTCTCACAGTCTACATATGTCTATTCTTAATGAATCTTTAAGTCAATTTCAAGTTGCTTGTCAAATTGTTGAATTACTAAACAGAAAGTACTAAACTCTATCATTTAAAGTAATACAATATATTAATACAAGTACATGAAGTAATACATTTTGAAATCATTCTTTCAGTATATTGCTTTGTAGAAAAAAGAACATTTCATTTTTCCACAGTACAATAAAACCAGAAGAATTTTTTCACTAAAGTGCAAAATGAAAATAAAGCTTTACTTTTATAATATTTTTCATCTTGTTTACTTTTAAATGTTAAATGTTAAAAAAAATGGAGAAAAAGAGGAACAGATAAAAATACATCATTTGCAGTCTAAAAGTCATGTTAGTTTTAAACTCTCAAAGTTCAAGATCTGCAAGTGATTTGTTCCACTTATCTTTCCAGTTCTGCTTCTAGAATCTCCCCCCACGTATCTGCATCCATAGGGCACATGATTTTTTCTGGTAGGCTAAAGGGAGAACATATGTTGCTGTATCTGCCACTTAGCCATTCATGTTTCACTTTACTCTTCTGGTAATTTCTCAGGAGTATTACCTAGAAAGGATAAACCATAATCATTCAAAAAGAACGCAACAGGTGGTTGGTTAGTGAGTTTGTTTAAAAGTAGAGAAGCTGAATAATAGGGCTGAGAAGAAGATTAAGTACTCACATTGATATGTACATATATTAATAAGATTGTGTGTGTGTGTGTGTGTGTGTGTGTGTGTGTGTGTAGGTTTAGGATTAGGTGGAGTGAAAATAGCCACTTTCCTTCAGGTTAACAGGAAAATTCCTGAATTTTAGGATTTGAAAATGTAAAAGGATGGTTGAGAGATAGCATGGAGACAGTGTGTTTAGTAGGAAAAAAAATAACTGCTTACTTCCCACAGTTATTAATACACTCAGTGCTAGCCTGTATATAAAATCCTATCTCCTCTACACAGAAATCAGAGTTGTCTCAAACCTAGTACTACAACCCTGTCAAAACTAGGGCAAACTGCCGAGGTTAAACTTACCCTCCAGGAATAACCACTTTCTAGATCGTTATCTATTTCTCGTTGGCACACGGTTCTTACAGTCAAGCAGTGAGGTTTCCATAAGGAGTCACTGTTTCTTATTGCATAATTCCAGCTTCTGCATGTCACCGAAGCTCTGCACAAACTCTGGATGTCAAGTTGGCTAAAAATTTCTAAAGTGACTTCTAGAGGCAGCAGTTCAACAAAGTTATTTTGGCTCTCATGTTTTTCCTTCTCAGCATTCACAGAGTTCATTTCTATGCCAGAAACTCTCAAATTGTTGTTCCTCTTGGAATTTTTCTTCATGGCTTGAGTTTTTAAAATAAATTATACACATATGCAACCTAAAAGGCAAAGTTTAAACATACTGAATCTCTTCAGATCAGACTGCTAATCCTACTCTGAGTCAGATACTTTTGGGGTATGAGTCAGACACTTTCTTGACTTTAGCTTCTCAATGTGAAAGTGGGGCCAAAACTGCTCCTCTCTCATTTGTTCTTGTGAAGATTGTCAGGGATAGCATAGAAAACATGTAGCCTCACATCTGTATTGCACATGGGAGACTCTCCATGGTGTTAATTACCATGTTTTTGAACATTTTTAGTAAATAGGCTTGTTTCTAAATGTTTTGGGTTTTTGTTCCCAAAGAACATTATTTTAAAAAGGGAAATGAAGGGCTGGTGCAGTGGCTCAGGTGGTAGAGTGCCTGCCTAGCAAACATGAGGCCCTGAGTTCAAATGTCAGTACCACCAAAAAAAAATTGTGATTAAAAAAAGGAAATGATTCTTCATATATTGGACCAAATGTATTCGGCTCAGTAATAATGCCTATTGTATGAAGACATGTAAGCATTTATTAAAAATACTTTTGAAAATGTATATGAGTCAACTTATAAATTCCTGAATCCTTGTCTGTGGGAAGGGATGCCTTGCCTTAAGTTCTTCGCCTGCAATTTGTGACTTAATCATTAACCTGCTAGACTTTCAGTAGTTTATATAGTAATTGCTTATGTACTTATACCTATGGGTAGGAGTTCACACTTGACACAAATCTACCTGAAATGGACAAGAGGGTGAGAAAGGATGAGAAGCTGCTTATAATGAACAGAGACTCATACTCAGTTTGACTTTAAGATTGGTATTTTAGAAATGGAGTTATCCTACCTGCATAGTTAATTATGAGCTAAGAATAACATTCACTGAAGCTATCAAAAAGTAGCAACTACAAACAATGTTTATAATTTAGCTCTGGAGTCACACATAACTAAAGATTTAAAGCCCAGCTTCAGCTAACAAGTTTACTAAGAAGCATGGTGCAGGCTTCTGTAGCATGGCTGGATACATCACCTTCCTTGAGCTACTTTTGCATATAAATACAGCCTGTATTTCCTTAAAACCAATTTCTTACTTTGCACTTCCTTTTATAATGGGGGAGTCAGAGTGTAGTAAGAGGAGTTTGATACAGCTAAATAACTTCTTTTAACTCAGCTAATGACAATTCCCTTTTCTAGAAGAGCCTAGCTATGGTTACTTACTTGCCCTGAACACAGGGACTCCCATTCATTAGGCTGTTTATAGTTGTGGTGGTTAGAACTGTAATTTTTGTGTCCAACACATGACTTCTACTTCTAGAGGAAGTAAAAAAAGGGAAGTAAGAAAACAAACCGTAAAAACAAGAGCGCGTGTCAAGAGCAAGTTTTTGCCATACCATCTTCTCTCCTCCCACCAGCCATACAAACCAAAGTCAACCCACCATGTTTTGGAGAATTATCTCATATAAGAACATTATACTGCATGTAAATGTTTGTTACTTCTCCCAGGATCTAACTGGGAATAAAATAAAATGCTTCCTCTTGTCAAAGGAACTTCATAGGAAGCCAGTGAAGGTTTTTGCTTGTTTTACATTTTAAAGGTATCATCATGACATTCCTCATACTCGTAATGTATGATCACATTCACCTCCCATAACCCTCTCCTCCCAAATGAGTACCCAGATAATGGTTTTTGAATTTAACAATCGGGGGTGCATCGGTCAGGTTCCTAAAAATCTTACTAGGAATCTGTCTTCTAAATTCTGTTTCTATTGGATGGCTGGAAAACTATCCCTTTTCTGCCCCTTCTCCTTTACAAACCCCTCCAGTGAGCTAAGCGCTCGCCCCCTTCCAAGTGTCACTCGCAGGGAGGGGTTGGGGAGGGGCAGACTAGCACTGGGGGGAGCCCCCACCCGGCCTGCACCCCACGTCGCTCCAGAGCCACCCTCTCTGTGTGCTCTTGGTGGGCTGCTGCCGCCCGAGTCCCAAGAACAGCGGACACTGACAACTGAAAGACAATAACAACCGTCAGCACCAGCTGTCACCGTGCGGCGGGAGGCGGAGGGAAGGCTGCGTCAACGCCCGGGCCGGGCAGGACCTCGCCCCGCAGCATGCTGACCGTAGCGGTCCGAAAGAGAAAACCCTCCTACCTACAGGGCCACGGCGGCTTCTGCTCCCGCGATTTAAATCCTCTGAGATTCAAATCCTGCCCCATAGTCCTTCGCATTCCGCCCACTCTAGCCCCGCCCTGCAGACACGTGTCGCGTAGGCGCAGAGAGGTGCGCGCGCTGCCTTGTGGGATTGTAGTTTTTCCCATGGAGTCTCGACTCGGAAAAGAAGGGGAAGGAAGATGTCAGGGACTACAAAGCCTGGCGTCTTCCAAACCCTGTGGGAGGTGAGAAAGGACGGGAGGAGTTGAAGTCGGGGCTTTCAAGCAATCTTTTTCAGGCAGTCTGAAGGGGGAATCCCCGACTGCGTCACAGTCTCTGGTGGAGGGCGGGACTCCGGAAGTGGCTCTGGGGCTCGGGACGCGAGAGGGCTATGCTGTCTGAGTGGAGTGTTTGCTTCTCCGCTCACCCGTGAATCACCGAGGCCTGGGCATGCCTCGCGTGTGTCTGTGGAAGGCGGAAACGGCTGCGAGGACTATCTCCTGTTTTAGGAGCCTAATTCTTGCTCGCCATGTCCGGGGGCTTCGAGCTGCAGCCACTGGACTGCGGCCCCCGGGTGGCCCTGGCGCCCGGGGAGACGGTGATCGGCCGCGGGCCGCTGCTGGGAGTAAGTGTGGAGGGGGCTCGGCGACCCCGCGAGCCTCGAAGGCCTTGCGAGCCGCCCCCCGCCCCCGGCCCTGCTTGCCGTCCTGGCTCGGTTCTCCCCCTCGCCTGCCCTGCCTGGCAGGATTAGTCAACTCAGAAACATTTCTTATGTTGCCTTTAAAAAAGCACTGGCTGTATTGTCATTATTATTATCTTATCCCAGGCTTGGCAAAGTAGGGCACTGTAGCTGTTTTTGTATGGACTCATGAGTTAAGAATTTTCAAATGTAAAGTGTAAACAAACCTATTATGAGGATATTGCGTTTTGGCCTACCAAACCTAAGACATTGACAATAGTAACTGGCCCTTTACAGAAAAAGTTTGTCAAATCTTGGCTTATCTCCCCTAGGCTAATTTCTTCAGTTCTGGCCTCCTATGCAGAGCTGGGTAGGCATTCGTTTTATTATAGTAGTCTTTCAGTAATACCTAATCCATTCATAGTACGTGCAGTGTTCCAGTCTTTGACCTAAGGAGACCTTATAGATACTAATTTAGTCCTTTCAAAACCCAAAGGAATCAGGTGCTTTTATGATCCTCATTGTTCAGATGAGAAAAATGGATCATAAATCATTTATTTAAAGGTGATGGCTAACCTCTTGGATGCATATTGCCACTGAGCTATTTTTTACCCTTTTTGAGAGGGTTAAGTTAGGCAATTTAAAATTGCATTGTGGAATTCTAAAGATATCTTCCTAAGTACCATCTGTGGTCATGCCTCCCTCCCTAAACATTTATTGTATAGTTAGTGCCCATTTTTTGCGTGACATTTTGCAGATTCTAGCACTGTGGGTCCTACAAAGATGAATGGGACAGAGGGTCCCTGCTCTGTAGGAGTTTTCTCTTGAACGGGTGAGACAGACCTGTGTCAGCTAGTGCCAAGGAGTAAAGAGGGTTTGATTATTATCATTGTTAACTTGCAGTTTCTGAGTGGAATCACTAAGTATTAGCCTTAAGGCCCTTCTGGGAGCAGGAAAAGGAGTGATGGTTTGTTTTGTGGAAGTTGGTTCAAAAGGTGTGTGTATAAAATACATGTTTATGTAGTCAGGTTATTGAGGAAATAAAAGCTCACGTGCTGTTTACTTTTTTCCCCCCTGAGCAAGTGATTATTTAAATATTTAGATAGATTTTGTTAGTTTGTTCCTAGTTTATTAGCCTATAAGAACATTTGAAGAAGCTGCCTGGGATGTTGTATTTTTCCCTTTTAAATATTGAGATTAGACCTTTAATACAGTGTGTGCTCCATTTACAAGTCATATGTCTGTGGCAAGTTTTGACTTGCTTAAAAAAGTCAGTTCACAAATGCAGAGTACTGTGGGTTTAGTTAAAAACCACAGATGGATTTTTGGCCAGTGTTTTATAAACATGCAGGTTTCATTATTTGTAGCTCATTCTTTGTGTTACAGGCTTGTTAATGTGAGATGAACCTATTTGATTTCTGTTTACAAGTGGTAAGGAGTTACTGGTGTGGTAGAGCACAGCTGTAATCCCAGCTACTTAGGAGGCAGAGATGAGGAGGATGGTGGTTCTAGGTCAGCCTGGGCAAAAAGTTAGTGAGACCACCATCTCAACATAAGTAGGAAATTGAATGCTGGCCCCTAGGCAAAAATGTAATACCCTATCTAAAAAATAACTAAAGTAAGGGGCTGGGGGTGTGGCTCAAGTGGTAGAGCTGGAGTCCCAGAGTTAAAACTCCAGCACCAAAAAAAAAAAAAAGTCAATTATCTGATCAGGATTTTTTGTTTCCTTTTAAAGTAATCAGTGATAAGATTCTGCTGCCAAATTTGGCAGGTATTAAGAGGTGTTATGAAAGTCATCCTAAATGCATTGGAGGAAAGATTTGAAGAATAAACTGCTTTGTGTTTTTTAGATTTTGGAGCTGCCAGATGTAGGTATCTTTTCTGCAGTGACTAAAACACAACATGAGGGCTGCACTTTCAAATAAAAACAGTTCTTGTGAGATTTTTTTTTTTATAGTTCAAGAGAATAAAAGCTTAGTTTTAAGTGGAAAAACTCAGGAAGTTCACTGTGTATATATATATATATATATATATATATATATATATATATATATATACATATATATATCGGAAGTGATCAGTCTTAATAAGACAAGCCATACAAACCTTGATGGGCACCCAGCATTAAGGTTTGTAATCTTAGTGTGTCCAGCAGTCTTGGTAGCCCTTGTTTGATATTGCACTGGATGTCACTACTGGGGAAAACTTGGTAAATGGTATAAGGGATCTTTCTGTATTGTATCTATATGTGAATCCTTATTTGTCTTAAATAAGAAATTTCATTAAAAAGGGTTTTATGGTACAGGAAAAAAAGGTGAGTGAAAAGTGATCCAATTATTTGATAATTATAAGATAATTGACCAAATTTAAGTAGTATGTCTGTCAAGTGACATACTACTGTTAGGCCAAGTTACTTGTTTAATTAAGGGAATTTTTTTGCACACTTTCAATTAAAGTTGATTATATCCTTAAATCTATTGTTTCTGACTTCAGATTTTCCTTTGTGTGTGTGTGTGTGTGTCCTGAGATAGATTCACTGGCTTTGTAGTTTAGGCTGGCCTCAAACACATGACCCTCCTCGCCTCAGCCTCCTGAGTGCTAGGATTATAGGTGTGAACCACCACACCTGGCTCCTTATTCTGTTTTGACAGCAGGAATTATATGACACTTTATGATCTATTTTCCTCCAAAAGAATAGGATAGCACCAAGTACCTAGTGAGAATTTGTCAATAAAAATTTAATTGAATTTATTTCTTTTATTAAAAAGAAGCCCAGTTATTGATAGGCTCCAGCACAGACTCTTTGGATAGCATCACTTCACCACTTCTAAGAATGCTATAAGCATTCTATCATTTACATAAAGAATCATTCCCTGGCCTGGCTGCTCTGCACTTTTAATTGCTTGTTGCAGAATCTCATGCAGCTGTCCTGTAATGCTAATACTTCCTGATCCAACACAGGTTTCTTCCCAGCACCTCTTTCATTCCTAAAGATGTGCTGAGCACTCCTAGCTGATGGACTTGCCCTTCCCTCATTGAATTTAGTGTAGTACCAATGGCTGGTGCATAGTAGTCCTTCAATCCATGATCTTTTCTATCCTTGTCTCTTAGCCTCTCTTTCTGCCCTAAAAAAGGGAGCCTGATTGTGATTTAGATGTAAAAAGGATCTCACTGAGTTTTGAAGTTAATTTAAACATATAGGAGTAGTGTTACCAGTACTAAAACTTAGGGAGAAACATTCATAATGAATTAAGTGTTAGCATTTTTCCTGTTGTGCTGATACTTTACTAAATTCAGAAAATAGTTGATGGATATATACCGTAGTTGCTTAAGACAGAGTATAGGGAAAATAAGATGAAAAAATAAGATGGCGGCAAAGCAAGGTCTTTCTCTCAAAACACTTAGTAGGTATGAGAGACATAGAAGCAAATAAATTAATGGGGTTCAGCCTTAAGTAGGTCCTGAAGCCAGGCATGCATTTTGAGTGAGTGAAGTGGGAAGGAGGGAGAAAAACAACACAGGGACAGTGAAAAATGGTAGCAGCTGTGCCACAAAGAGAGGAGGCCACAAAGAGAAGGATTTCTAATTCAGCCCCTGCTACTTGCCTCCATTTCCATCTCATAGTGTTTTTTTCATTAATAAGAAATCTGAATTTTTAGGTATAATCTTTGACTTTTAAAAGGTCATATTTAATTAAAAAATTTCAATACCATGAGCCAAATCAAATGATGTTACACTGTAAGAGATGTATAATAAGGAACTCATGATTAAGATGAGGGATCAGGATAAGCTTTATGAACTCAGTAACATATTGAGGTGGACTTTGAACTGTTTGGGCATTTGGACTTTTGGTACATGGTAGGGAGGGAACGGTCCATCGTGCTAATCAAATGTCTGACTTAAGGATCTAAGATTTACAAGTATATGGCATATTGTATAGTTGGTTAAATGCTGACTAGATTTGTAGGATTATTACATTATATCAATGCTCCCACTCAGACTTTACAAACATTGCTTTTTTGAATATACTAATTTTTTAAAAAATAGATTTTAATTGAGTACTTCTAAGCTCACAGCAAAATTGAATAAAAAATTACAGGTTTCCTGTGACTTTACCAGAACACATGTACAGCCTCCTCTACTATCAGCTTCTCCTACCAATGTAGTACATTTATTATAGTTGATAAATCTACATTGACCTGTCATTATCACCTAAAGTCCATATTTTAATTTTGGCCTTGTATATTCTAGGGATTCTGACCAATGTGTAATGACATGTAGCCACCAGTGCAGTATCATAAGAAATAGCTCCAGTGTCCTAAAAATCCTCTGTTTCTGTGTTTTTATCCCTCCATCCCCTGAACTCCTGGTATTCTCTGAACTGTTTCCATCATTTTGCCTTTTCCAGAATGTCATATTGGAATCAGAACTTACTTAGCTATATACATTTAAGGTTCCTCCATGTCTTTTCATTGCTCAGTAGTTTATTTCTTTTTAGTGATGAATAATCTTTTGTTGTCTGAATGTAGCACAATTTACTCAATTTACCTAGTGAAGGACATCTTGTTGTTTCCAAGTTTTGACAGCAAAAATGCTGCTATAAAGATCCATGTGCAGGTTTTTGAGTGGACATAAATTTTTAACTCATTTGGGTCAGTCCCAAGGAGCACAACTGCTGGTATAAGAGTATGGTAAGAGTGTATTGAAGAAACTGCCTGTCTTTCAAAGTGGCTGAAATATTTGCATTCCTACCAGCAGAGAACAAGAGTTTTGAATTTGAACCATTTTAATAGCTATATAATGAATCGATATATTTGTATATGTATTTCTAAACCATTGTCTGCAAATCTTTTTTTTCCCTGAATACACTGTCTTCTCACATGCCTCCATACTTTTGTATAAACTCCCTTTTCTGGTAATTTGACTTTGTAGCTAGTGTCAGGGTTTCTGTATTTTTAAAAGCTCTGAAAATGATTCTAATGGAAAGGCAGATTTGAAAATAACTTCTAGAGACTCTAAGTGGAATGCTTGATTAAAAAAAAGGTCTTTAGGGAGGCTGAAAGAGTGCTCAGGTGGTAGAGCACATGCCTAGCAAGCATGAGCCCTGAGTTCTAACCCCAGTACTGCAAAGAAAAAAACAGAATAGGTTTTTAAAAAATAACTGCTGGACTAGCAGTGTGGCTTAAGTGATAGAGTGCCTGCTTAGTGAGTGCCTACTTTGTAAGTTCAAAGTCCTGAGTTCAATCCCTAGTCTCACCAGAAAAAAAAAAAATCTTCTGAGTCTGTAAGAAAGGAACTATTCAGAACTGTTTATTTTCCTAAACCCCAAGTGGAGATTTAAACCCAGTTTTGTCTTCCTGAGCTCTTCTT